TAGGTAGAAGCCTGGCGACGGGCAGAAGTCTGGCGTCTGGTAGAAATCTGGTGACAAGCAGAAGTTCCATATCGAGTAGAAGTACAATAATGTATAGAAGTTCGATGTAGGAAAGAAGTACGATAAAAGTCCAACGACGGGGACAAGTCCAGCGACAAGAGGAAATCGGGCGATGGGCGGAAGTCCAGTGTTGGGTAGAAGTCCGACGATGGGCAGAAGTCAGGCGTTAGTCGATTGTATGGTGGAAGTCCGACGGTGGCCGAGGAAGAGTCTGGTGGCAAGAGAGCTCAAGTTTCTGTTCATCCTTCTCTTCATTCTCTTCCTTTCTTCTTTGCTTGAGCTTCCTCCCTCTCCTGGCTTGGGGAATGAGGAATCTCTATTTATAATTTTCCAAGAGTTGCATGATCAGTAGATATAAGGAAGATCAAGGGTGATTTGGGAGTGGTTTGAATGGATAACTGATGTTGATTCCCGTGATCATGGACCATTTACTGGACTTTTGAATGTCTTAATAATATTAGAACTTGGTGATTTTGGGCTCATTGGATTTGTCTTGTTGAGCCGCTCGATTCGACTATAACACATCACATTTAAAAATTGTTTGATAATCCAAATTATTGTTTAAACCTTCAAAATTTGATTCGGGTCTTTGACTTGGACTCATTTGGGCTCGAATTGAGTTGAATTTGATGTCGTTGGATTTGTATTTTTGTGGCGTTCAGTTCGACTATAAATTTGTTGAAATCGAAATTCAAACGGTCTCCTATTTAATTGATCGAATAGCAAAAAATTGTGTTGCAAACTTAAAATTTGCTCAAACTTGATCATAGAAGCTTCATTGAGCTCCAAAAGTGCTAAAATTGATTCCAAAACGTCAAAAATGATTCCATGGATCCCAAGAAATTGTCCAATTTGGACTATCCGGGCCGAAAATTCAAGCCTAGACGCGAATGGACAAACTTTTGAATGTTTAATGAAAATATATTATCTCATCATTTTGGAGTAGTGGGTTTCCTTTTGGCCCCACATGTAAAATCAAATATTCAAAAGTTCGGTTCAACTCAACATAGTGCGATTCGACCTAACTCGACGTAGTGCAAGTCAAAGCTAGCTCGAATTAATCAATTTCAGCTAAAAAGGGATTTATTAGCCTAAAGGTAAACTCGCCTCAAGTAGGCAACTACAATCCAAGAACTTGTCCCCATTAGGTGATTGCAGCCCATCAAAAGGTTTGAACTAAGTTCTGAACAAGATTTAAATCAAGTTTAAACTAGTTTGAAGGGATCCCTCATATGAATCAGTTTGAACTAAGTTCTGAACAAGATTTAAATCAAGTTTAAACTAGTTTTAAATCTTGTTCAAATATGGATTTGAATCAAATTCAAACATTGGTCTGTAAGAGGTTTGAATTGCAACATGTTTAAATCAATTCAAAATACTTCAAATTTAAAAAAAAATAGTTTACGGATAGAATAATTTCATTCAAAATGTGTTTTTTGAAAAAACAATATTCAAGAAAACAAATAACAATTCTCCTATTATATGCATTAGGAGTCATATAAAGTAAAATTTCATATTTTAAAAATAAGAGGGAACATAATTTGTAAAAATGGAAATTAATTGTCACTCAATATGTGGTTGAATTGATTAATACTATTAAAATCATTTTAAAGAAACTGATATTGAAATTGAAAAGAATTTAATAATTTTATTTCCAAAATATTTTTTCTAATTTATTTATTTGTTTGACTTTTAATATTTGAAGAATTTACATGATTTTTTTTTTTTTTCATATTTGCATTCAAAACAATAGAGTTGTAGTATTAGGGATGTGGTTGAGGGTTTTGCCCTACGCGTGTCGGCGGCGGATGGTGAGGCTCATCGGCGTCGTTTTCCGTCAAGTTTCGGTTGGGGAGTGCTCTATTCTATGGTATTATAAACTTTCCTTTCCTCTTCCCGCTGTTTGACGCGTTCTTCTCCGGCCGTTCCGGCTGGATGGCGGTCCGTCGGGTTGAGGACCCTGGTTTTTTGGTTAGTTCGTTTAAATCTAAATCTTTTGTTGAAGCTCTATCTGGTTCTGTGTCTTCGGAGAGTTTTCCTGATCTCCGGCATGGTTCTTTTCGAGGTTTACCGTCTTTGTGGATTTCTGAGGCTGAAATTTGTGCTTTCTTTGCCTTTTCAATTTGCCTTAGTTGGTTTTTTTTCCCACAAAACGCCCTTCTCTGGATGCCATTCAAAAATTTTTCTTTGCCCTCAAACTCAAAGCGGAGTTCTCGGTCAAGGTTCTGGATCATTCGCATGTTTTGATTAAATTGTCAAATGAGCTTGATTACAGCCGTGTGTTTTGCCATCGATCTTATATGGTGAACAATTGTTTTATGAAGATTATGAAATTGTCGCCTATTCTGGACATTGGATGTGAATCTCCGGTCATTCCAATTTGGGTATCCTTCACGCTTTAGGTTCTATGTTTGGTAATCCTTTGAAGGTCGACTCGGCTACTTCGGTTGGATCTCGACCTTCTCTCGCGCGAGTTTTAGTCGAACTGGATGTGACTAGGATTTATTCGAAACAGATTTGGCTGGGTCCTGAGGAATCTGGGTATATTCAAAATGTGCAATTTGAAACTTTCCCTGATTTTTGTGAGTCTTGCAAATGTCTAGGACATCTTAAAGGTCACTGTGCCTCCTATGCGAAACATTTTTTGAACTCTAATCTTCCTCTTGCTGAGAATGTTTTTGTTGAGGCTCAAGATGTTGAGAACCGTAAATTGAATGAGAATGAGGTGATTAGAAATCCTGTTAGTGTGGTGCCTCCTCTGAATTTGGTTGTTCCGTCTCCTGATGTTGAGGCCCCGGCGGTGATTATGGAGGTTTTGGCTGAGTCTCCTCTTATTCAAGATGAGTTGCATCTGGAGGGTGTTTATGTTTCTAATTTTGAGGTGTTGCCTAATAATGAGGAGGGCTGTATTGTGGCTGAGCCTGTTATGGTGAATATAACTCAGGAGGCTTTGACTGGGTTGGTTTCTGCTCTTGATAATTCTGGTTTAACTAGAGAGGTTGTTGGAGGGAATGTATTATCTACAAATGCGTTGCCTTTCTTTCCCCCTGTAGCTACGCCTGTGAATGATTGTTTGTTGCATTTGGAAGGTCAGGTAGATTTTACCCCGCCTAATGGTGTTGATGTTGCGTTTGACCCGGCTGTTAATAATCTAATTGAGGTCCCTGTTCATTTGGTTGATTCGCAAACTTTGGCCAATCGATTGGGTGATCATTCGGGGTTGGATGTTAGAAACCATATTAACTGGCTGGAGGTTTCGTCAGAGTGTGAATCTAAATCTGAATTTTCTGAAGGTGGCTTGGCCTCTCCGAATTTTTGTAGGGGTTCTGACCCTGGTAATGATTTCTCTTTGGTTCGTGCTAGACCTGCTAAAACTACTGTTTCTCGGGGGAGATTTCGTGGGAGAGGCCGGCGTAGACGATAATTATCTTTTAATGTGTTATGTTGTTGCTTCCATGCTTTTTTAAGAATTTCCTGTGCTTTTGCTGTTCGATTTGTTTAGGCGATGGATTCAGGGATATGATGTAGTTGGGGCTCGCGTCTCTGTTGTCTATCGTGTGGCAACCGTTGGTGTGGTTTCTTTTCGGGTCAGTTGGTAGGTGGTTGCTAGCTTCACTTTTCTGGATGGCCCGTACGTGGATTCAGGAACGTTGGAAGCCTTGGCCGTTTCCTGAGCCCACTTTTTGGTTGTATTTTTCCTCTTTTATTTCCCTTTTTTTCCTTCTTTATCTGTTGTAATCTCAGCTTATTTTATTTATAAAAGTTTCTGTAAAAAAAAATAGAGTTGTAGTATTCTAATAGATTTATAAAATTACTATTTATTTATTTCTTTTTAAAATATATTTATAAAGATATTATTCATAACTTATTAATGAGTTATAAAAAAAATATATAAAAATATATAATATTGAAGAGCAAAAAATTTGGTTCCAAAATAATTTTAGTTAAAAGTCTTGATTATATGGGGACGCCGAACACTGTTCGAAGACCAACCATAATGCATCACATCACCCCTTGCTCGGTACCGTGGTGCGTTCTGATTGATTTTCAAATGATGTTCTGTGTTTTGTCTCCGCACAGAATAATTTCTCTGATCATATGATCTCCATCAAATAACAAGAAGCAATCCTTAAATGCAGGTGAAGGAGTTGGCCGTTCACAACCAATCAGTAGACCAATAAAGTTTAGCTTAACAGCTTCCAAGCACAAAAGTAATATCAAGATTGAACAAGTGTAGATGGAAAAGAAGAAGATGTAGATTAATAGCTAAGCCCACTTATAAACAAGCATTCCTTTGAGAGCAACACCTTAAAAGAATCAGATACATAGCTCATCTTATCTGTTGGTTGGGAGCTTCAGCTATCAACTAAGAGGTCTTGAATTCGAGATTTGCGTGTATGAGTTTGTCTTAATTAGCCTAAGGCTTCGTTTGAGACAACTTGCTGCTTTCTAAAAAAAGATTTTTTATACAAAAAATTTTGTATTAAAAATGTTTCATAAAGCAGTAAGAAAATCGCCTCAAGCGAAACCTAAATGTCTCGAAAAGGATAAAAGTATCAGACAAACTATACCAAATTCCAGGTAGAGAAAATAAGCCTTAGACATTCCTAGTTGCCTGATAAATAAACTTATAATTATGAGAGAAGGCATGATCCTACTAATAATTATAAAAATTAAGAAAAAGAAGAAAATAGTGGGTTTTATCCCTCAATCAGAGCAAATCCTACCAAATAAAATTGCAGTGAATTTTTCTATCAAGCTCTCTGCTAGAGCACAGAACTAAAAATCAACCTGTATATCCCAGCTTATATTTTGCACAGGTCATGACAATCATTCACTAAGGAACAAGCTATAATAAGAACTTGATGAGCTAATGAGGATTTTTGGCATGGAAGAAAACACAAATCCAAGCTATAATCTATGCTTGTAACAATCTGGAGTTATTAAAGCAGTAATAATTTCATTTCTTCCATTACGAAAGTGATAAAAGAGGACAAGCTGAATAGTTCTCATTAGTTGTGATAATTCTTTCCAGTCAGGAGTAAGAAACAACAATTGCAGCAATATAAATACTGTGGAATTAAACACTCTTAAGGTATCTACTCTTCTGGCCTCACGAGACTTTGGACAAGATCCTGAAGCAGTTCTGTAGTAGATTACTACTGCACATCTAAAACCACTCCATTTTTTGAAAAAAATATTATCAACCAGGCAAGTTGGATTTCTTCTCCAAGGTTGCAACCCATAAATGTCCTATCCCTCGCTCTCGGTCTCCTGGTTGTCCTGGAAATTTGACATTTAATAAGAAATTATTCATTTGGCTCATATCAACAAGCAGATGATGGATGGAAGTATTGTTGTATTTATTCTATTCTTTGAAAGTTAACCTTTTGAACTTCACAAAATTTGTAAAATATCAGCTGTAAAATGAGGACTCTACATGCCAAATACATCTTAGATAGAGAAAGGAAATCAAAGAATTGATTTATATTGGGAAGAAGCAAGGGTGGATCCAACCTTAATTTTTAGGGAGATAAAACTTATAAGTAAAAGTGTAGAGTTTTTTTTTTTTCATAAGTATCCTTACAACTAAAATTTGTTCCGAGGGCGCTGCCTCCCGACCCCTATTTATTCATCGTTGTACGCTTTGCAGATATGTCGGGGGTCCAAGGAGGCAGTGCCCCTTGGCGGGGGTTTCCGGAGGCAACGCTCCCAAAACAAATTTTGGATGTAAGGATATTTTTGAATTCTCTTTACTATTTCTCTTTTTATTTGGTTCACCGTTCCCTAACAATAACATCTCTACACAATGTGTTTAATTATGTTGGGGCAATTGCCTAAAGACCATAGTATTTTAAAAATTTTAGGGGGGAAGGGGGGCAATTGCCTAAAAATTCTTGTAATAAAGACTAAAAAATATATAGAGGGCAAATTACCTAAAGAATCATATAATAAAGAATTTTTTTAATTTTTTAGGGAGGTCGATTCACCCATGGGAAGGATATTAAAGGGTTCTTAAATTCCACTAGTGGTTGAGGAGCTTAGAGGAAGGTAGAGAAATAACTACAGACTGAGGGCTGGAATCAGGAGAGATGCAGTAGGTGGAGATTGTGTGATGAGAAAAAAAGGCAGTGATGACGGCGAAGGAATTATAGGAAAGGCAAGTCAAAAAGAATTCACCGCCCACTTGATAGAGAGAGACATGGTAGTGAGATGAGAGAGATACATGGTGCAAAAGCAGGGAAATTCCAAGGCAGAGAGGGTTTATCAAAAGGTGAGGTAGCAGCAAAAATTCAATAATTTTTCATTTCAGTCAAAAGACAATCTTAAGGGATCATTTATAAATAAAGCTCATAAGGATAATCACAAAGAAATATACCTAAATCAATTAAAAAACATCGAGTCAATCCTAAAACAGACTCAATTAGTTAACAAACTGTAATCAATCTCATCATTGGCATCAAGTATATGTCAAGATTGGACCGTTATCATTTATAAAGCACAGGTCCGCATACAACACCAACGACTTGCTAAAATTAAAGAAATATAACTAGGACACAACAGGTCATGGACCTCCAATGTCAATTGATGCTTAGGTAGTTAGGTCTATGCAATTCAAGGTGTTCTCTACTCTCCTGACTCTGTCATTCTCAATCTAAGCTATTTGCATTTGATTGAATTTAATATCCTTTAATTTATTCTCTAGCCTAGGCTAGAGATGATCTAAGCAATTCTTAATTTTGACCATTGGTTAAATTGACTAGATCAAGGTCGGTCATCGCTAACCCTTTGATGAGTTCAATGCAATTCTGTGAGCCATTTCTAATATTGAGTCCCTGACTAGTTTAGCCAGAATCCAAACTCAACCATTAAATCAGTCTCTGGCTAGCTTAGCTAGAATCCAAACTCAACCAATAAATCAAGCTAACGAGGACCAACCTTAGATTAACCAACCGATAAAAGGACAGTTTTGATCTCTCATTCTTCATTTCAAATCTATATGTCAATCAATTTAGGTTTGAGAAAAATTAGTTCTAGGTCAACCTAAATCTAACTCAACCCTATATGGCAAAAATTTTCGCTCAGTGGTCTAAGCCTCTACTTATTTCATGTGGTTCTCTGGTATGGACTGTGGCATTTGGTTTGACCCACAGCTAACCTATGTGGGCTCCTAAAATTCGAGCCTCGGCCTTTCCACGGACCCCTTTCTTTTCATTTTCGGGTCGTCGAGGAGAGTTTTAACGCTAAAGTTCCAAGGCAAATTTTCAGAAGGCAGATTGAGTTTTGAATAAGACACTACCCAGAGATTTCGCCCTCATTTTGCGATGACTTTATGATTTGAGCTCAAGTTTCCTATAGACGCAAGCCCCTATAGTTAATTACCCCTCCCAATAACAAGAGAGAACTTTCAATTAAGGCTAGTCGTCAAATAGATACATAGTATCTGCTGTATAATAGCAACATGTTTAGGTATTTGAAATTTCATATTTAAAATTAAAAATTCACCACCTTGCACTTAAAGAGGATGGTGGGGGGAAGTGATGATAGATCCAATTAAGATCCTATGGTTCCGTCGTCCCAGACCATCGTGATCTATGATCTACTTAGCGGAAGTTGTCAACCCAACTTGACAGAAGGATCCTTGTCAGCAACCATGAGTTGCTTTGTCTAATGATATCTTATAGATCTAGGGTGAGTATTTGTCCAAGGAGAAAAATATGAATCCACCTTAGCTAATAGAGGGATTTATGCCCAATCGATTATATCCTATTGATTCATATATCAATGATTTAAAATCATTGGGGAACATGTGGGCTCTGACCATGCTGTAATTTAGTGGTATCATTTGGCGGCAAAACCATCATGACAGAAGGTCCCGATCATAACCATTTACATGTGGTTCCATATAGCGGCGAAATTGTAGATGTAGTGCCATTTAGCGGCAAAATTACCAGTTAAAGGACACGCGCCACGTCCTTACTGGCAAGAGACGAATTCAGAATGAATCATAGTGATATTCTAGACCAAAAATTAGCTCTGTATGAGCTGAAGTGATTTTCAGACTTATCCACCTCGACAAATTGTTGTAGAGGACGGATGAATTTTGTTTTAAGTGTTTAAGTATTTTTTTCAATTTATATTTTATATCTTGATGGATTTTGGGTTTTGAGTTTTTATAGAAATTTGGGAGCATTTTTTAGATGTTTGGGGACCCCTCTTGGTTGAAATTTTTAAATTTAAAATTTGATAATATGACTTTTTTGTTGGGAGCATTTCAAACAATTTTTGTCTATTCAGAAACTTATTTTGACATATAAAAATAGTATTTTAGTTCAACTAAAGCTTCAGTATATTTTTATGTACGGTCTTAGTAATTTGGTAAATTTTTTAAAACATAAATTTTTGCTTAGTAGGGTTTTTTGTTATCTGCCATTGGGATATTTTGGCACTTTCTTAATTAAGTATAATTATATTTTATTTACTGCAATGCATGACAACGAGTGTGAATATGCAGTTGAACAATAGCTGATTGCTATATTACTATTATAGTATTGTGATAATAAGTGTGGAGAAAAATAAGTAAAAATTGGTCATTCACTAGCGTTGGCTGGAGACTGACTGACTTATACAGAATGGTAGGCCGACGAGCTTTCCTTTAAATATGTGGTTTAGTAATATCCTCGTCTGATTCACGTGATACACTGATTGAGAGATAAATAAATGATTACTGTACCGAATGATAAAGTATAACGACTCTATTTATTAAGCCAATGTTTTACTGACACTGATATGATACTGAAAAAATACTAATTAAGCTAAGACTTCTTACTTTTTTAGCGTGACATACTGAACATATGATTAAGATACTGATTTGATTTTGATATAAAATAATCGGATAGCATATATACATAGTTATATGATTCTACTACATTAATATGATTTCAATAATCTTTACCGATGTTTTGGTTTTACTGATTTATATGATTTCTTTATGAATTGATAGCACTGATACGATGATTTTTTTATCGATTTAACATCCGTGTTGATTTACTTGCTTCCGTGTCGTATTGTTATATAGTTTACATATTCAATTGCTACTGCATGTGATCTTTACTATTTCTGTATTGATTCTTGATCATATGACTGTTATCGTTATGATTTGACAACGGATATGCATATTGCTCCTTTGTCTTGCGTTGAGTTCAATTGTAGGATTTGGATATTTGCTGGGCTCTTGAGCTCATTGTATGTGGTTAAATGATTTCAGGTCAGAGCAAGGGAACAGGAGTTAGAGATTGACCATGAACCTTCAGGTTCAAGTTCTTATTATTTTAGTTATTCTTTTGTACTCATGACAGATTAGTTGTGATATGATTGTATAGATCCTGAGTAGTGTTTATGATTTTTTGGGAAATGAATACAAATGTATATATTAATGTTTTGATCGATAGTTTTATTTCTGCTGCTATTCATATTGATAAAAAAAATTAGTTAGCTCTGGTTATTATTTATTAAAATATATAATTCTTCTAAATAAAATTATGGGGCGTACACCATCGATTCACTCAAATTTAAATAACACCTCTAGAGAATTGTGTATTGCATTAAACAAACTGAGAAAGGCAATGCAATTTATCATGTATCATCCATAAATCATATGAAGGTGCATAATCTCACCAGCGATAGTAAGGATACTCACCTAAAGGACCCATCACTAGACAAAATTTGTTTAATATTTAAAACAGGTGTTACTAGCTGGAATGTTGAAATTTTACTTGCATAAATATTTATAGGAACTTAGGAGGCTCATGTGTGTGTGTATCAGATTTTCAAAATTAAAAGTTGTATCCATGATTGAAAGAAAATCAATAATATATGTACCTATTCAAAGATTTTTTAAAATTCATATAAGTTTGAAGCTAAGACCTAGAGTTTTTTTAATATAATATGCAGAAAGCATTTGAGTCGAAAATAAGCTAGCACATAACAAACTTTACTATTTTCCCCAAATTTCTCATTAATATGTGCAATAGTTATATATTGAACTATTTTTGTAGAGGGGGGTCATGTAGTTCAAACTATTTAAAATATTCAATTTAATCTCTTAAACTCTTTAAATGTGATCCAAACAATCCCATTGTTAAAATCATTGTTAAATTTTACAAAAATTTCACATAAAATTCATGAATAAGGTGGGATTGAATATATTTTTTTGAAAAATAAAGTTTTGATACATCATGGTTTGCATGAAATACACTTGGTGCATTTTTGCTTGAGTTAAATGAGGGTGTTAGTAGAATATGGATTGTTAATTATGATAATTGTAAGTTTTCCCCTTATTTAAATAAGAGGACATGGAATTTGAAGCAAGGGATATAGTAATGATGCATTTAAATTCAGAAAAGCTTCATTTATAAACTTCATGGTTGATTCCAAGATATCTGCATTGGCATAACAGACCTTTTTGTGTTAATTTGTGGATTACTTCGAAGACAGCATGAAATTTATATTCTGATTTACTTGATAAATATTAAATGCCAAATTCTTCGAAGTCTTTTTTTTTTTTTAAGCCATGCAAATTGTTGTAGACTCTCTTTTTGGGCAACAATGGCTACCATGGTTAAAGTTCTTCAACAATCGTAATTACAGTGTCTCTACCACTCCTAGCTATAGTCCTGCTACAGGTTTTTCTTCAAGTTGTATTGATGCTACTACAGGAATTACTAAATTTCTATTTAAGGATTTGATGACTTTGTTGCTATGGTGCTTAGCTAATTTGTATTTTGCGCATTAGGGTCATGCTTCAACAATTTTACAGACATGTTCTATTGTTGGTGCTTACCAAGTCCTTGCTCTATATTTTCTGGTTGCAATTCTTATAACTTCTTTGGGTGGTTTTATACATATATTCAGTGGAAAGTCTTGGCATTTTTGCCAGTGACAAAATATATTTATGCCAATTTTGTTAACAGTCGAGATTTGAATATTATTTGGAATTTAAATTAAACAAAAAGAGAAACAACCGAAAAAGTAGATGATTATAAACATCAAAACTAGAGGCACTTAAAAATTTTGATTGATTCACCAAAAGTCTGACCACCTATTTATAGAAGAAGCCATCTCCTTACACCGGAAGGCCAGGATCGTCTTCAATTTAGTGATATCTTTACGTTATCTATTTCTTTAAATATTTGAGATTACTTATACTAGAGCTCTTGATTCTAGTCAAATTTGATACAATTCAAATTTTACTTGCAGTGTAAAACTTTAATCGCTTGCTAATTCTATATGAATCAAATTTCACATTGATTTATTTGAAATTAATCATATGTTGCATTATCATCTGTATTCAAATTCTCATATTTATGTTTTGCATCTAAGAAAAATGAATTTTTATGTATTTTGTACATCTAAGGAAAATGAGTTTTTATGAATTTTGTGGTGTTCGATCTGCTATTCCTAATTTTCTATGTGATATGCGTTCATTGCACCATCTTAACTGTATTAGTAAACTTAGACCCTTAAACATCCTGTATTAAACATCATGTACAAGCATGTTTGAGCGATTTAATTAAAGAAATTAAATTTTTTTTTTTTCATACCTCATTGCTTGGTTGAGTGAGTCGGTTCCATAAATCTCCCAACTGCTTGCTTATTTTCTTTTCTTCTGTGGATAATGAGGGGTTGACTTTCACACCATGGTCAAAATATAGATTACAGCTATTAGATTTAGAAAGAGAATGTTCTTCTATGGCTTGGGAAGACCTTTTCCTTCTTCGTTGACCAGAAGATGAAGAAGATAACGTCTGACTCTGAGAACCATCAGAATGAGCATGATATAGAACACCGGTGAGTTTTTCAGAACCATAGATAGCAGTCACTAGATATCCATTTTCAAACTTTCCTGTAATTTCCCCTCTCAACCAAGAACCTATTTCTAGTGGTGGATATCCTGCATATCAACAACCAAATATTTCCTCTATTAACAAACCCATTATACTTCATAAAACATTGTACAAAACTGGCATCATTACTATAAGAAATGCTACAAATTTATCTATAAATGTATGTATAATGGGTCTACTTTGTTGCATGAGCTACGTATATAATAAAAGACTGAAAACCTGGTAACTGAAGTCCTGTTGAATTCTTTTGCTGTGCTATCTTTGTAGGATCTTGTTGCTTTAATGGTTCTTGGTCGATAAGAACCTCACCAGAAGAAGAATCTGCAAAAATATTCAAAATGTATGCGCCTAATGATTAATGGATACAGAAGCATATCACGGGGCAAATGAACAAGAATCTCTTTGGCAAACCTGCTAAATGTTTTCCACTGGTGCCATGAGCACCAGTAGTTCCCACCTGATTTGGTTTTGATGCTGAAGGACTACCATAATTTGTACCTGGTAAAATAGTTTTCAGCAAAAAATAAAAATCTTTGCAACGTCAAACTAACAAAAGATACCAAGTAAAGAATTAAAGCGCCAAAGGTGGTACCAGTGATTGGGTCTATCGGGTCTTTATTGCGGAAGAAGTATACTTCTTCATAATGTTGAAGCAGGGAGATGTAGTACTTTCTCAAAACAAATGATGCATTTGTAATTGTTGATGGAAAGTTGAAGGCAGAAATTACATCTTTCCATATTCGATCTCTAATAACCTGTGATTAGTTAATGAGATGATAAAGTTAGCTAAAGCATATAATAAAAATATTATAGTCATTCAAGACAAGAAGTTAGTGGAAGAATAATTTTCATGTTAATTACACTAACCTCAGAATAGTGGACAATCTGTAAGGTTAATCAATCTGCCAGGTTAGTCAAGTTCACCATGACCCCAAAGTTAGCTTTAGATTATGTTTAATATTCATGACTCGATAGCATCATTTTGTTCCCGATTGTGGTTACTCAACGAGCCACAGCACCAAATATTTGTATGACACATAATAAGATCATAAATCATAAAGTCTTCATTCTCATTTTGCTATGTTAGCACACTAGACATTCAAGTCTCATTACCCTGTGCCAATTGGCGGTCATTTTATTCTCTTCTAACAAAAATGAAAAAGCATCTCCAACTTCTATAACTCCATCTTCTGCACCAACCCACCGACAGTGTGGCTGTGCTTTCCCTACAGCTTTTTTGGATATTATTTGTTATTTTGATGCTAATTCCTTTCTTCAGAAATTTCCTTATTTCTGTGATTGAAGGTATTTCTCTTCTAGCGCTCCCTGTATTCATGGATAGTAGAATGTGTAGAAAGCTGTAACGAAGTCAATACTTGCATCTTTGATGGGCCCTTCAGATTTTTCAGATTGTCCTTTTTCGATATCTGATGATTAGGCGGTTTTAATTGTTTTATTTGCTAATTAAAAAAAATGAAAGAAATATGATGCAAAAGCATAAAACATTTGAACATCAAATAGAATTTTGCTTTGATGTGCAAATCTCCTTCCATGATTTTACTCCTCAAATAAGTGTGAGACTTGAAATACCAGGATAAGTAATACCTCCTTACTTAGGCTTGCTTTTCGAGTGACTTCTTACTTTTTTTTTTCTTCGTCTCATCCTCTCCTAGAGGGTTTTCATTATTGGTTGAGAGTGAGGTCGAGTCTTTTTGGATTTCTTTTTATTGCGAAAAATTTCAAGCATATGTGAGGGTGTGTAATTCTTAATTTTCGAGAATTAATTTCTAGTAAAAGGTCATAAATCTTTTGCCTTTTTTTTCCTAGAAGATAGTGAATACATGTTTAAGATTAATAAATTGATTTTGGGAAAATAACAATTTTTTTTTCTATGTTACTAGTTACATTAACATTGGAAACTTTAAACACTAAGATCTACCTCAAAATTTCAAGCATATGTAGACCTTTCTCTAAGAGTTTATATTAAGCAAATACTTTATAGATGTGTATGTTGAAGTGGTCTCCATTCTTCAATACATCTATATATATTAAACTTTTTTGAGTCTTTCCCCTCATCTTCAGATTCATTACATTAATAAATACACAATATTTTCTTTGGGTTCAATCTCTATCAAATCATTGCAAGTGGTGTTGCTATATCTAGACTCTCGCATCCATTTCTGTCTCTTACTCTTGTTAGGGAAGTTATGGATTGGCACTTAATGTGGCTATTGGCAAAAAGTGAAATTTGAATTCAAATCCTTATATTGCAGTCTTATAATTTTGTTGGTTGTGATTCTATCGATTGCTTCAAGGCCCATTCATAATTAAGAAAATAGTCCTTGAAGATTCCATAAGCTGAGGTTAGCTCTTTTGATTACTAATATGAACATAGAATATAATTATATATTAAATACTCATGTGCAATTGAGATCTTCCAATATGTAGGCAATGCTCTCTCTACTCCCTTGAGGGTTTCTCATGACTTGCATACTACTCAAGATTCATTCGTTGAGTTAATAACTTCACTTGTTAATGGTATAGCTTTGATAGTTGGGTCTTCCAATTTATTTAGAGTCATGCTTGGGTTAGACATATGCGAGCTTACCAAGGACTATGCTACAAAACTTCCTATTTCTTCTCCAATCAATACTACAGTCATACTCGCCAATGGTACACGAGGATGTTCTACTGTAGAGAGTTTTAATGATTTAGCTTGGTTCAATATCAAAATTTGATTAAAAGTAATTTTAATCTAATAGATAAAAGATTTTAATAAGTTATTCCACATCAGGATATTAATCGAAAGAAGACCTTCTCCATTCTCCCATATTCATTAGATTTCAAGCGAAGCATAATAATTGGGAGAAAAGGATCAAAATCGTCCCTTGACTCTTTATGAAAGACCAAAATGGTCCAACTTTAAAGGACCATTTTGATCTTTCTTAAAAATTTAAAAGACAATTTTGATAATTTTTGTTGATAATTGACATATTAATTTTTACGTTCTAGACTTGGCACATGAGTCAGCATGATCCACTTTTTTAGGATTCTTTTACTCTTGTTTACTTCTAATTAACTTAATATGATATATTTTCTTCTTTTTTTATATATAGCAGTCTTTATACAACTGCATTATTATGTATCTTTTTCACTAAATATTACAAAATTTCATTGCCCAAAAAAATTTGCTATCAAAGTTTATTGTTCTTTTATAATGCCAAATAAAAGTAGACTAAAAGATCAAAACATTTAACAAATCAACACACGAACATTACTTACAAAATGTGAAGAAATAATTACAACATCAAACCTTTATACCAATACGTGGGGGCAACTACATGAATCATTTTTCTCCATTCTATCCTATTAAGAATCAAATTCTCATTTAAATCTATATATCAATCCTTTATACAAGCAGGCAAGGCCATGAGGCGAGCGTGCAAGGGCTAGCAGGCAAGCGCGAGGCCACGAGGGCAAGGCCGGGCGCAAACGCAATGGGTAGGACAAGATCCGAACGAGTGAGGGCAGGTCAAACAAGTTGTTTTTGGGTTCTCGGGTTAACCTGAACCTAAATCGATACATCAATCGGGTCAAAAAATTAAATCCGAACCTAACTCATTTGTTTAAATGGGTCGACCAGAACCCGAATTTTTCAAAACGGGTTATGGTCGGGTCCGGGTCAAATTTGTTGGTCGTGTCTGATGTGATGCATGAATTGAGTTACACATGATTAAAGAAAAAGAAATTAAATAAGAGCTTAACCGTTTATAATATCATGCTTCAAATTAAAATCGGTTACAAGAAGTCGTAGAGTTATACTTTGCTTAGGCAAAGGAATTACAATGAAAATTGACCGGGCAATTTAAGCCAATACAAAGGAAAAAGTAAAGTTTAAAGCTAGTGAATTGAATCCAACAATTAATACGGAGTTGTTCACCTTGAGGCCTCTTCTCTCTTTCCTACGAAACTAGGTTGAGCGGCGGAAGATCGTCCAAGCTAGTAGTGAGGTTGCCACGAGGAGGGAGGAGCCAATGATCGTCTCCACGAGGAAGGAGCTTGGAGGTGGTGGAGGCGCGGGTGGGTGGCCTTCGATGATCCAGTCGTAATCTGAAAACTGTTCGTCAATGACGTCTATAAGAGTGGGGAGGATTTGATTCAACTAGACTTCCACGTTGTCGTCGAACTCAAATCCCACATCGAAGAACGGCGATCTAAGAATGTGAACGTGGCCGTAGATGTCGATCTTAATCCCGTAATCAGTAGCGGGATCCGCCATACACCATGTATTGGGAGCCGGTTCGTCACTACAAGCTCAAGGGGATGAAGGGGTGGTGTGGGGATGAGGGAGAGATTGGGTCGGCGGTAGAGAGAGGTGGGGAGTTTGTGATTTGTTGAAGAAAACTGAAATTAATTTCAGTTTTAAGGGTTTTGGGAGGGAAAATACAAGAAATTTGAATTTCCAGTTGAGTGCAATTAAGGCATTAATGGAAATTAAATTAGGGTGAGGTTAATGGGGAGCCGGCGGTAGAGAGAGAGGGGAGGGGAAATAGAAAACTGAAATTATTTTCAGTTTTGCACAATTGTGGGGAAGAGTTATTTGGAAGTAATTAGGATTTCAAATAGGAAGGGGGCATTAATTGGGTAATTAATGGGGAAGCAAGATTGGGGGGCCGGCGGCATAGCTAGGGAGAGAGAGGGAGTTATGGAGAGAGGGAGGGGGTTTTCCAAATATAAAATGATGACTAGGAAAATCTGAAATAAAATCCAAATCAACTTAAATTTAATTAATTTGGATTCATTCAAAAAAACCTTCCAAAAATAGAATTTCCAAATTTGGAAAGAAATTGAAATTTCAAATTTCAAATTTCAATGAGAAGTACGGGAGGGGATGTGGGGAAGGTGGTGGAACCGAAAGGAGGCCGGCGGCAAGGTGGCCGGCCGGCGAGGCTATGGTGGCCGGCGGGTGGATCTAGGGACGGCGGCAACAGAAGCTTGGCTTCTTGCTTCCTCTTCTCTACTTGGGGTCTTCGGTGGTGGAGAGATAAGAGACTAGAGATTTCAAGCCTTGGGTGATTGCTACAAGTGAACTCACAAAGAGATCACAAAGAACTCACTAAGAGATCTCTACGATATTGAACTCACAAAGAGAACAAAACATAAAAAATTTTCATTTCAATAATTCATTAGCCTCATACAAGATACATGAGCCCTTTAAATAGGCTCCAAATGACAACAAGTACAAAAGTCTACTATGCCCCTTGGGCTACAAGAGAAAACAAATACCCACAAGGGTAAAATGGGAAAAACTGAAAGTAAATAAGTAATAATAAAATGCAGATACAAATAGTCCTCAGTGGTACAGGCTCTCCATCATGGCCGTCGATCTCTGGTGTCGTCTCTGATAGACGCGCCGGAATCTCCTGTCGATGCCCCCATCAGTGTCATATGTTGACACCCCTATCTTCAAATGAAGAGTAATTGTTATTTTTGTACTTGTGGATGTCCAGGAGATATTGGGCATGTACACAAATTTAGGAAAAATATGGCTAAATTATCTACTTTCTAGCAACGACAATGGGTGCTTTTGTTAGATGATCAATTGTCATAATGTAAACTAATAATGATGCATATTAGTATATTCAAGAAGCAATGCAATAATACAGTATAATGATCACAAACACCTTAGCACCATAAATTACTATAATCTTATTTTTTCCTAGCTGTTCCAAAAAATTTTGAAGCAAAACAATACGTCACGAAACCTAGGCATTTTATCAAAATATAATACAAGCTAAAACATACCACAACAGCTATTCTCCACTCCAAGCCCTCAAAAAGAAACAGAAAATTACAAAAATGAATGCAAATAAATAAAAGGAAAAAACATGTCCTCTAGACAACCAGATCACCATAAGATCTCTCATATGCATACTCTACCACACTCTCAGTAAGAACAAATCAACAAAAACAACTAAGCAACATAAAATAGATCAGGACCAAACCAGCATATGATATATGAAGATCACTGTCCCTAATGCATGCAATTAAAAAAAATAAGAAAAGATGTAAAAAGATTGAAGACAGATAACTTCTTTGCAGGCGAGGACAGTCATCCTCCTAATGATTCTCATAGCCAAGAGGCACTACCGCACTGGGTATTTTGGTGACGGCGGTGGTGGTGAAAAGAGATGTTTTATGGATCGACCCTCAATTGCCAATTTGCAAATGCGTCCATGAGAAATGTGTTGAACTAGCTCACATAATCATAGTGTTAATGGCTGCTCTCCATAATATAGCTCAGATTTGTACCCATTCAGGATTTAGCATGCCATTGTTGTTAATCCAAACAATCAAGCTGGCTGCTCAGGCCTGACACTCTTCCAAACTTGTGAAGACTTCTCCTCCTAAAACTGAATAATGTTAAGGTTTTAGGGCCTCCAAGGCTGCTATGGCATCTAGGATATCCTCCTCCTACATTAGCATCTACTCAATTCTCCTGTGTAATGGCGTCTTTAGATACAACACCTCCTCTACGGTGCTAATGGAGACATTTGTCTTTCAAGCATAATCCATAGATCAACAATAGAAAATCAAGTCTCGTAATCATTATTTCTTGCAACTTGTGGAGGATTTGGAATAATTTTTTTGAATTGTGAAATTCAATGATGTGCGCATTTCAGTGATGTTGCACAGATGCCCACTTGGCAGCAACTTGGTTGATATAAACATATGACAGGCTAAAGAGATATTTGTCAAACCAACAACAGGAGAGTTAATAATGGTACCTTGCCAGAATTTTCAACAGGTTCTTGGAAAAGTAAGGAAACAAATGACTTCATCATAATCAGGTCCTGTCGCAACAAAGTTTGAGTAGCCATATTCATCCATATTTCTTAGCCCATAGTATGTCTTGACCGTCGTCCTGTTAAAAGAGATAAATTTTGCCCTAAGAAACTTGCATCAGCCACATGCTCTATTGCATTGGCGTAGAATTCTCAGATAATCGAAATTAAGCATGTTTTTGGCTATTGGACAAATATTCCTTAGCCAAAGGCATCGATCATCCCTTGAATTTTCCATCCTAGCAATTCGAATACTCACTCAACAATGCAGGATTTTATCAAGATGGAGCAGTGGTAACGTTCAGCAGCTACAGTGCTAATGAAATGTTTTGGATCGAAGGTTTTTCAGGATGACGTAGCTCCCATTTAATACTTGTTGAGTACTATTTAAAATTGGTAAGGGCTGAGAGAAAAGAAATGAGCTGCACGTATAAGCTTTAACTATGTGAATTTAGAAGCTAAGGAGGCATGAATGACACTTGGAATTTGCATGCTTTAGTTAGATAGGAAAGCACACATGGCATATAAGGGAAAAAGGGCCACATGCAATAGTTTATCCAATAGTTCTACATGCAAAAAATTTGGAATCTAGCTCAATTAATGGACTTTGGGCACCTGGGCACTACGTCGAGCACTTTGGCACCGAATCTTGCTCCTCTTCATGAAAACAAAACTAGTGCCTATGTGTTTGGATTGGGCATCTACACACCAGTTCAGCTAGATGATTTTTTTTTTTTTTTTTTTTTTTTTTTTTTTTTTTTTTTTTGAAAAAATAGTAACTCTCAACCTAGCATTTTTTTTTAAGAGTACTGAAATAGATAAATCGATTGTCTTCCAACAAGCGCTTATTTTAACATCCTCAGTCTGACTCAGTCCAACTCAAACTATATTTGATTAGGTGAGTTTCTTTTGTCGATCCACAAGAATTGCTCGGCCACAAAATCATTATCTTCAGAGTTGGTCCAAAATGCTCCTATGGGTTATGCCCAATGACTAAGGTGTGTGAAATTTCCTGCCAAAATACACCAAAAACTCCCACTCGATTGCTAACTTGCCACTGCCTCATAAACCTTGAACACTAATTCCCCCTCCTACACTCTAAGGTGCAACTCGCTCTTATGGATATCAATTTGGGTTCTCTCAGTTACCCGAAAATGATCGACCCATAATGATGGGATACTTTGATTTTGCGCCCTTCATAACCAAAATGACGAAATATGTTTAGAAAATGAACTTATCAACATTTACCAATACATCCTAAACAATTCTCGTAGGAAACTTCATTGAGTTGATAACCAGCTGCAATGAAATAGTCGTTGGTTTTACTTCCCTGAGACCCAAATTCCTATGGATTGAAAGAGAAATGAGATTAATCCTTACAACAAGAACACCTAACGTGTTGTCAAATTGCATATTTCCAATATTGCAATGAATAGTGAAGCAACCTGAATCTTTCAGTTTTGTTGGCAGCTTTCTTTGTTGAATAGCACTACCTCCCTGGGTGAATGCCACCATCTCGTAATCTATCGACTTATTGTTGGAGAGGAATTTCTTGAACTTCGCATAGATGGACATCTGATCTAGTGCATCAGCAAAAGGGATGTTGATGTGTAGCTTCTTGAACATGTCCAAAAACTTAGGGCTTGTTTGAGATTATTATTCTTTTTTGTTATCTCTTTTGTTTTTAAAAACATGTTTGTTTGATGCCTTTTTCAAGTTTCTTTTTAAATTTTAAAAATAAACTATGTTAATTTTAAGAACACTCAAACCAACTTTTTGATGTTTTTTTAATATTTTTAAAAGCAATTACCACCGCTAGCCACCATTTCTAGCCACTGTCAGCCACCACCACTGGCCAGACCTTTGGCCACTGCCGTCCACTGCCACAGCTCTATAGGCAATCATCGCCATCACCACAGGAGTGAATTGATTTAATATTTTATAAAATATATATATATTTTTAAGATACAAACATATTTTATTTGAAATCATAACAAATAAAAAATAAAAATAACCCCAAACAACCCCTTAACAAACTAATTGTCCTACTAATAAAATAAAATTAAAAATTAAAAATAAAAGTGACCCCAAACAACCCCTTAACAAACTACTTGTCCTACTTTTGTTTTTGAAAACACTATGGGTATGGTAGCGATGAAGCGAAAAGAGACGAATCATCACAACAGTTTTGTCTTGACCTGCTCATTCTCCTATCCTCATGCTCTTTTGCACTAGTCATTTCACCTTCTAGCTCCTTGCCCCTTAGATCACTCAGCATTTTTCCGCTTCTCAGTGTCACAGCTTTCACACGCATACCTAGATTCATCTTTAGTTTTGCTTAGTAGAGCTCCAGGCTGTCTAAATGCTAGCTGCTGTGACAACGGACCAGTCCAGACCTCAATGTTTCTGATAACAATATCCTTCCTTTAGAGAGAACATCGAAGTTTCTTGCCATTGAAGGGTGGAATCCTCTTGGTAAGAGTGAGCCAGGCAAGAGCATTTCTCAGTGAGAACTCACCTTTTCCTTTTGTTTCGTTTGATAAACAAGGAAAAAAGTGAGGCTCTGATTTGAGCCTCGTTGTTTGTAGCATGTTTAATGTCCCATCAACTTAACATGGAAGCATTAAGATCCAACCAGAAAGGGTTTTCATGCGCAAACAAAAGTGAGTGTCTGTTATTCTCTTGATGGCAAATCTGGAAGGCCCAGAGAATGAAGACAAGCACGACAACACAAGCAGCGGGTTTTTTTTTTTTTAATTCAAAAAATTTATCAAATTCCTATTCAGTTCACCAGAATTTCAAAGAAAAAGTAAAACTTACTTTTTGAAGTCCACCACGGGAAGTAACTTCAACAAATAGGCGGTGTAGATTAAGAGGTCTTCCTCCAACCCTTGGTACCCTATGTAAGGAAAGGAATTGTCTGTCAATAAGAGCACAGCTCAAGAGTAACAGCAAGAGCATCAGATGGTCCAAAGATTAAAATTAGTTATTCTTAAATCAACTAGTTGAAACAATAATGCTGTAACAGTTAGTGAACTAATATAGTTAAGGCCATGTCATTCACAATGAAACAAGTTTTCAGTTTTTTAGAATAAAAAATAGGCTCGAGCTCGAAGCTCGTGAGCTTGTTAAAGAGTCGAGTTCGAGCCGACTTGGCTCACTTACACTCCTAGCTCCAATCCATCCAAACCTAACAAATACCAGAATAAAACTAAACAAATATGCTACAATAATAACAATAAAAAATATGCAAATTTTACTGCAATGGCTTTTTTTTTTTTCTAATCTTTCAACAATGAATTCATTTACCAATCATATTGGTGTATCTTTTACCCTTTACTGTAAAAGCATAAGCCACTTAAATTTTATTTTCACATTTTATTCAATACAACTACTCCTACAAGCCCTCCACAATATAAAAATTTCTCAACCTATCCCTCTAAACTTCGCCACAAGTCTCTTTAAGATTTTCTTCTACATCACACTAAGCCGAAGAATACCAATGACTTCTATAGCGTAACATTACTCCTGAGACATCTCTTCAATTTCACAATCCATCCTTGATTGCAACAATTATATCTTCATCTTTATTCCCATTCTTTCATAAAATGGATCCAATATATTTAAGCCTATTGTGTTTAAGTATCATTCGACTTTTTAAAAATATTGATTAATATTATGAATTTAATCATAATATTCTTATTATACTTGAGCCATATCCCAACATTTTAAGGTAGGCCCTTTTTGAATCCTCACATTATGTATTCGTATAATAAGTTGTAGGATGTTTTAACCCTATTTTGTGCAAATTTTATTGCATAATTTTTAGCAATGTAATATGTCATTTTGATGCAAGACAAGCTATAAGGCACATTAACAAATTCAGGACTGAGGAACTAATTATCATTACATTTTGTTATTTCATTTTATTTTTATGTTGGAAAATGAAAGTGAGCTATTATATATTATTTGGAGGGAATATTTTAAACATAAAATCTACTTTAGAACAATATAAATCAGCCCAAATCAATCCAAAAATTGGCAACAACAACTCTTCGTAGTAAGTCGACTTAGTCATCAGCGCATATTGGTGTCGATCATCAACAACCATGGACAATCGACAATGACATACACCGATGACCGCACTGACGTGCACCGACAACAGTTGAGTTTTTCAAATATAACTTGTTCTTTTTTCTCATGTTTCTTGTTCTACTGCATCCCAGCAATCCTTCAAAAACTATAATCCAAAAAATGGACTTATACCCTTTCCACAAAACCCTCTCCTCCTATGTCCACTTGTTGTAGCTAGTTCACATAAAATATTTAGAACTTCCTAACCACATCTAATTAACCTAAAATCACTAGCATTAGTTAGTTAACATCCAAAACCTTTGATATTGATGTATTCGCCATTTTCCATCAATAAAAACCTAGCCCTCCACTACAATAAAGTTTCAACTAGAAATCCTAACTTGGTCAACATTTTTTCTTCGCCTTTAACCAATCAAAAATCTTCCACCTTCACTCCAATAACAACAGAAATCTCCTAAAAATATTCCCATCATTTGATTTTAGTGACGAAAAGATCAAAATCCTCTTATTCTTTGCCACAAAAGAGAAGAAAACTAACCAATCCAAATAGGCACTAACATTATAAAGGACACCTTATCTTTGAACTTCTCCACCAAGGCTCTTCACCAATAAAGCACATTTGTTTGAAGAGGACGATATCTTATGCTTCATCCACAAGGCATCTTGAAATCAAGTGATAATATTTACTTTTCGTTACTATTAAATTATTTTGATAATATTTACTTTTCGTTACTATTAAATTATTTCACTTTAGTAGAAATCTCTATTAAAGAAATTCAAGATATTGGAATGTCATGTTGGAAATTCTAAAATTAATTTGTTAGTTCTCTAAGTAGAGAACACCCCATAAAAGCTAAAAGACAATCCTACTTCAATACCTACCAACCCTCTTTGATATATGAGAGTTCCATGCCATGTACGAGCGTGTAGAAAAAAAATATTCCATACAACGTCTTGAATGTATTTTTAAAACATAAAAATCAAAGTAATATTTTTGTGATTAGTAAGTTCTATGCATGTTTATCTTCACTTATGAAAATGTTATGCATTTGCATTTCATTATTGTATAAGCATTTGTCCTTTTCTTTTTGCATAATCATTTTTGCACAAAAATAATTAAAAAAATAAATAATTCATTTGTATATTTGTACGACTAAAAAAGTTTCATCAAACAAATCTAAACTATCTAATGAGAGTTTGGAACTTAACTGATTCATTATGACCCCACCCCTCACATGGAAGTTTTTTAAGTAAAATATTTATTCAAATTATCCAATATTTTTTCTTGTATATTTTCATCTCATCATTTTCATATTATTAAAACACTTCAAGGCCTACTATGCATTTGTAATTATGCATTTCAACACCAAAATACCTATACACTCAGATAAAATTAGAAACTTATACATTTGATGTTGTCACAGCATTTACAAATTTTGATATAGGCTCAAACAATTGAAAATTCTCTTTGAGTGGCAAAATATGGATGACTATCAAAGAACTAAATTTGATAAATCAAAATTCAAAGGAAATGCCTAAATACAATAAAAAATGACTTCTTAGAAAGAGAACAAAAAGTTGGGTGAAAACCCTAACATAGGTAGATATAAACAAAAGTTTATAATCAAAATAGAACTTAAGAAAGCCAGTCTAATACCATAAGATATCCCCCTTACCTATTAGGAAAAATCCTTCTACTTTTGATGAAAGGAGATTAAAAGAATTTAACCTCATGATGAATGATAGAACTCATACAATTCTTGATAGGTTGAAGCATATAGATAAAAGATTAAACAATCTTATGAAATTAATAACCTTTAAGGATGACCAAGAACCTCTCTTCGAAGACAGAAAATATTAATCCCCAATTAAATGTGTCTAGCTCAGCTATTGATCCATCTATCTCAGACATCTATCCTAATGAACTTGAATCCCCATCTAACTTCAGTATTCATGTTAATGAGCATTTTGTTGCACCTCTTTCATGTAACTACTATGGTCTAAGAACCTCTGAGTAATTTATATGTACTCTTTCCTAGTAAGCTCACAAATGAGACTCCAATTAGATGCACACAACTATGGTGATCTCAAATCATCAGTTTAACTTTTTAAACATTTCCTGATGTCATGATTGATAAGACTTCTAATTTTTTAAATGTTAATGTACTACTACCTTCTAAGTTACAAAGATATGTAATTGTCCTAAATCACTAACTTGATGTATCTAACATTAGTGACAAACTTTATAAGACTTCTCTTCTTGAAATATCCAACATATTATTGCCCATTGAGATACATACATATGCTGTGAACTTAGATCCCCAACCTATCTTTATTGGACACACATATTAAAGAGTCCAACTATGAGCCGTCATCTCTATATGGCATAAAGGTCGATTAGAACTTACTCCTAAACCTCCATATGTCTCACCAAATTGGGCATTATAAACCACATTATGACACTGATTGTATGTTCTTAATGCCTCCTTATTTGATTCAGAAAACTAATCATTCATTGTATACCACTACAATTTCATTTGCACTTCATGCAAACAACCTATAGTCACATATTATACAATGAGTTGACATAAATAGAGATAACATTAATAGAACTATTTTATTTACTTGTAGAATATAATAATGATTAAAATTTAACTTACACTCAATCCCCTGGCAATGAATCCAATAAATACTATAATGATGAGTAAAACCCTTGACTTACTGCTTATTTTTTTGTTTTGCCTCCTAATGTATTCTATACAAATGTTTTCAATGCATATGATATCTTCTAACCTAAAAGGTTTATCAAACATTAGAATTGGAAAATAAACACACTTGCAGGAGATATAAGTCCACTTCTTAAATTATTACAATTATCAATTATTATATAATTAGTTATAAACATTATACCATTGAATGCATCTAAAGCTATGAATACTCCACCACTTATATAGATGCATGGAGTGTTAATCCTCTCACTTAGAAGCTGTAATATTTATTTTCAAATATAGAGAAATCCGGAGAGGCCTGCCGCTGTAGCATATGAATGAATTTTTAAGGAGGGATTTTGATGTATTTTCTTATAATATTTCGTCTTTTTCAATAACACTTCATGTATTATTTGAACCACAATTAAATTAATAAAAAATAGTTATGATCTAGTTGAACTTTATTGTAGTGGAGGGCTAGGTTTTTACTGATGGAAAATGGTGAATACATCAATATCAAAGGTTTTGGATTTAACAAACTAATGCTACTGATTTTAGGTTAACTGGATATGGTTAGGAAGTTATAAATATTTCATGTGAAGTAGTTACAACAAGTGGACACAGGAGAGGCTTTTGTGGAAAGGGTATAACTCCATTTTTGTGAGCTATGTAATGGATTATGAATTTTGAAAGATTGTGGGGATGCAGTAGAACAAGAAACGCGAAAAAAATAACATGTTTTGTTTCACAAACTTCAACTATTGTCGCTGCACGTCGATGCAGTCATTGGTGCTTGTCATTGTTGAATGTCCATGGTTGCCGATGATCGACACCAACATGCACAAACAACTAAATCGACGCACCTACGAAGAGTTGTTGTTGCCAATTTTTGGATTTATTTGGGTTTATTTATATTGTTCTAAAATATATGTTTATGTTTAAAATATTCCCTCCAAATAATATATGATAGCTCACTTTCATTTTCTAACATAAAAATAAAATGAAACTATAAAATATAATGATGATTATCAAGCTCTTTGGTCATGAATCCATTAATGAGCCTCTTAGCTTGTCTTACGTCAAGATGAAATATAAA